GGTTCACCTTCCAGGGTCTTTTTTCGGGATAATAAAGAAGAGGGTTACTAAGTTTATATGGGAAACTACGAAACTGAGAATCAGTTATGAGGTCCTGAGTAGAGTAAAAGGGAAGGGGGGTTTGGGCTTGCCCAACATAAGGAATTACAATCTAGCAGTGATTTTATCACAAATAGTAGACTGGACACAAGGGAAAGGATGGGTAAATATGGAAGGAATTTCAAGTAAGGCAGAGTTAGAGAAGATTGTATAGATACCACATACGTTTCTCACACATGGATGTTAACATTAGTTCACTGACAAGGAAAGTTTTGAGTATATGGAATAAAATGTATAGTCAAAAAGGATGGAAATGTAATTCAATATTGACTCCCTTGATGGAAATGGAGTATTTCCCCCCCATTTTTGGGAAATGGATAAAGGATAAGAATGCATGTTTGAAAAATATATTGAATGAGGGGAAATTGCACACTTTTCAAAACTTAAAGAAGAAAAAAGATTTATCACATTTGATGAGTCGTGGTACCATCGACGAAACCATTTTGTTTCAAGTCTCCCACAAAACCATCGACAAAACCACTGAGGACGTCGGAGGACATGTATCCGTTTGAAAGATTGTTAAATGAAAAAATAACCCCATAAAGTGTCACTTCTAGGTTTTAGAAGATCCTTATGGCTATGGAAGGAACTGATCCTCCAGGGTTCTTGGAAAAATGAGAAAATGAGCTTGGAACAGAATTGAATGCACAGCAATGGAATAAAGTTTTCAAACTAACACATGAGGTGACAAATATGAGCACAGTAGAGATGAATTATAAATGTTTAACTATTATTTTATTTATTTCAGGTACTTATATAGCGCCGTCAATTTAGGCAGCGCTTTTACATATATATTGTACATTCACATCAGTCCCTAACCCTCAAGGGGCGTACAATCTAAGGTCCCTAACTTGCATTCATACATACATATACTAGGGCCAATTTAGACAGGATCCAATAAACCTACCAGCATGTCTTTGGAGTGTGGGAGGAAACCCATGCGGGCACAGGGAGAACATGCAAACTCCGGACAGGAGATGACGTGGCTGGGATTCGAACCAACGACCCTTGTACTGCCAGCGGAAAAGCTAACCATTTAGCCACTGTGCTGCCCTAGATGGTATATTACACCAAACGTAGCTCACAGGCAAAAAGAAGATACCTCATCTCTGTGCTGGAGAGGATGTGGAGAAAGGGGCACAATGGCACTTATATGGTGGGGTTGCCCAAAACTACAGGATTACTGAAAGGAAATAATCCAATACATTCAGGAAATATGTGGGATAACTATACAGAGAGATCCGTGGAGGTGTTTATTTTATAACTTTGAGCCCTCAGCAAAATTATATAAAAACAGGGAACTTTATCACTTAATTATTGCGGCTAAGGGTATGATTCCCAAGTACTGGCAAGTCGCTGGAACACCAAGAATTAACGAATGGATAGAGTTGTTATTATTATTCAGTATTTATAAAGCGCCAATAGTTCGCTCAGCGCTGTACATTACAAAGGGGGACAGAACATGTGACAGAACAATACCAATACAATGGAAAACATGAGGGGATTGAGGGCCCTGCTCTTTTGAGCTTACAATCTAGACGGGACGGGATGGTGGCACAGGAGGAGATAGCTGTGGGGGATAGAGTGGTAGGAAGAGTGGAGGAGGTCGGCAAGTTAGCAGGGGGTGGGGTAGGCTTCCCTGAAGAGATGGGTTTTCAGGGTGCGCCTAAAGGAGAGGAGAGTAGGTGATAATCTGATGGGTTGGGGCAGGGAGTTCCAGAGGATGGGTGACACCCTGGAGAAGTCCTGGAGGCGGGCATGGGAGGAGGAGGACCAGGGAACTAGAGAGAAGGAGGTCTTGTGAGGGTGCGTGTTGGGCGGTACTTGGATATTAGGTCAGTGATGTAGTTCGGGGCAGTATGGTGAACGGCTTTGTACGTCAGTGTTAGGATTTTGAATTTGATCCGTTGCGCAATCGGAAGCCAGTGGAGGGATTGGCAGAGGGGGGGTGGCGGAAACGGAGCGATTGGAAAGGTGAATGAGTCTGGCAGCTGTATTCAGGATCGACTGAAGCGGGGATAGCCAGCGGCGAGGCAGGCCAGTGAGGAGGGAGTTGCAGTAGTCGAGTCGTGATATGATGAGGGAGTGGATGAGCTGTTTAGTGGTTTCTGGGGTTAGGAACGTGCGGATTTTGGCGATGTTGCGGAGGTGCAGTCTGCATGAGTTAGTTAAAGATTGGACTTGGGGCTGGAAGGATAGGTTGGAGTCCAGAATGACACCAAGTACTCTGGCCTGCGGGGCGAGTTTGATGGTGGTGTTGTTGGATGTGATGGAGAAGTTAATGGGGGGTGGTGTCCGGGCTGGGGGGAAGACAAGAAACTCGGTTTTGAGAGGTTCAGTTTAAGGAAGTGGAGCGACATCCAGTCTGATATGTCGCTCAGTAGGTGTGTGATTCGGGCGGAGACCGAGGGGGTGAGGTGGGGGGTTGAGAGATAGATTTGTGTGTTGTCGGCATAGAGATGGTAGTTGAAGCCGTGAGAGTGTATGAGTTGGCCAAGGGAGGAGGTGTAGATGGAGAAGAGAAGGGGCCCGAGGACAGAGCCTTGAGGGACTCCAACAGAGAGGGGGAGTGAGGGGGAGGTGGTAGCATTATAGCATTATAGGTAACGCTGAAGGAGCGTTGAAAATATTTATAAGATGGAGGAGCTAGGTCACATGGAGGAGGATAAAATGGAAAAATTCAGGAAAACGTGGTGTAGTTGGTTGAAATTTAAAACCTCTGAAAGATATATGGAATTGGTCGGAATTCGGGGGGAAGCTTAGTAGTCAGGAGAGAGCCTCAACTGAGAATCCAAGAGACAGCAGCATCAGAGATACACAGATACATATGACAGAAGATATGGTTTAGAAAAGAGGTGGTGAATGGGGAAAATGGACTGGGGGGAGGGTGGAAGAGTGAGGACGGGGGTGATATTGGGGTAAATGGAAATACGTATATGTGAAATATTTTTGAAAATGTGTTCTTTTTGCATTAGAAAATTAAATAAAAGTTTTTGCCGACCACAATATGTATATGTGTATAGTTGCTGTGGTTTACTGGGGTTATGGCTGAACACCGGTATCTTTCTTTCTTTTCAACCAGTGGTCTACGGAAATCGGTCCAAGTGGCTTATTAGCCACTGGATCATTTTCAGTAGCAGCATAAGGGGACATCTTCCCCCCCGCCGCTATTTCTCCGGCACACCGTTAAGTTAAACCCGCACACACCCGAGAAACAATCCAATGTTGTGGCCGGCTGGTCAGAGGCGATGAGAGACTCTAAGTCAGTGGTTCTCAACCTTCCTAATGCCGTGACCCTTTAATACAGTTCCTCATGTTGTGGTGACCCCCAACCATAAAATTATTTACCCCGTAATTATAATTCATGAGTGTCGTTTTACCTCCAATACTGCTGCTTTCTACACAGTAGCTGCTTTTAACAGAGTAGCTGCTTTCTACACATCGGAAATATGTGTTTTCCAATGGTCTCAGGCGACTCCTATGAAAGGGTTGTTCGACCCCCAAAGGGGTCGTGACCCACAGGTTGAGAACCACTGCTCTAAGTTATCTGATCACCTTTATGGCCTTGGAGGACTGGAGGGACGCCATGACATCACTTCCAGAGTGGAACAGATGTAAACAATTTTTTTTTTTTTTTTTTTAAGCAAAAGATCGATTTTGTTATTTTTTATCTTTTGCTTTTAAAAGGTAAAAAGGAGAGATCTGGGGTCTTTTTGAAAATATGTGCCAACTATAGCATCTATTAAAATGGAACTAAATGCTCTCAGTCAACATTAAGGGCGCATTTACACTTCCTTCAACTTTAAACACATATTAAAGCGCCTACAGCTTCAATATGTTTTGATGCTTCGGTGAAGCTTCTTTTGTCTATCTAGTAAAACACAACACACAGTTAACCCTTTGATCACCCCAGATATTAACCCCTTCCTGCCCAGTGTCATTAGTACAGTGTCAGTGCATTTTATTAGCACTGATCACTGTATTAGTGTCACTGGGGATGTCAATGGCAGTTAGTCAGTTCTCACCCAGTGTCAGAATGCCCGCCGCAGTCCCGCATTCCCACTAGTCGCTGATGGCCGCCATTACTAGTAAATATACATATATATATATATATATATATATATTATATATATATATATACACACGCTGAAAAAAAAATTCCATCATATATACCGCCTCTTGAAGATGCTATAACTTTCACGGAAACCAATTTACAAATGTTTTGAACTTTTTTTGAATATGTTTATAGCAAAAAGTAAAAAATACTGCTTTTTTTTTCAAAATTGTCAGTCTTTTTTTGTTTAGAGCGCAAAAAAAAAAAAAAACACAGAGGTGATCAAGTACCAATGAAAGAAAGCTCTATTTGTGGAAAAAAAAGACACAAATTTCATCTGGGTGTAGCGTTGCATGACTGCACAATTGTCAATTAAAGTAACAGCGCCGTATCACAAAAAATGGCCTGGGCAGGAAGGGGGTAAATCCTCTGGAGGGCAAGTAGTTAATCCTTATGCTGCTAGCATTCATAAATAGCTAAGAAGGTATATTATAGTCACATTCAAAATTTGTTTTTTTTTTTGTTTTTTTATTACACTTCTTCAGTTGCTTCCTGGTTTTTGGCCTAGACCAAAATGATGTCATTTATCCCAGGAGTCTTCATAGACATTTTTTTCCCTTACATCTGGAATAGGCGCTTTCTCAGCAAAGCATGCCCTCCTACCTGCATGTCTGAGCTAAGGCAGATGGATTCCAGAAAGTAAATGCTTCATGAATCATTTGCCCTTATTTAGGATGGCCGTGGCTAGAACTGCTGGTGCATTTTTAAAAGTGATTTCTCCACATCAAAGCATGGAAACATGGATGAGTTTGCTTTGAATAATAAAAACAAATTAAATAATCATAATATTTCCTCCCCTACGTGCCCCTCCCATTGACGTCAAGATCTACAGCTCAACGATCAACCCATCCCCACACGCCAGGGTGCTAGGTGTAATCCTAGAGTCTGAACTATCCTTTCAGCCCCACATATAAATCGCTGTGTAAAGCTTGCCGCCTCAACCTCCGCAACATCTCCAAGATACACCCTATCCTAACCAATGACTCCAACTTCTAACTCACTCCCTGGTCTTCTCCCACCTTGACTACTGCAACTCCCCCCTCCATGACTTACCTTTACATATACTATCCCTCCTCCAGTCCATCATGAATGTTTCTACCAGGCTCATCCACCTTACCAACCGTTCAGTGTCTGCTACCCCTCTCTGCCAATCCCTCCACTAGCCTCCACTCAGTGTCCTCCACCCCTCTCTGCCAATCCCTCCACTGGCCTCCACTCAGTGTCCTCCACCCCTCTCTGCTAATCTCTCCACTGACCTCCATTCAGTGTCCTCCACCCCTCTCTGCCAATCCCTCCACTGGCTTCCATTCAGTGTCCTCCACCCCTCTCTGCCAATCCCTCCACTGGCCTCCACTCAGTGTCCTCCACCCCTCTCTGCCAATCCCTCCACTGGCCTCCACTTAGTGTCCTCCACCCCTCTCTGCCAATCCCTCCACTGACTCCCACTCACCCAACAAACAAAATTCAAGATACTTACAACGTATAAAGCCATCCACTACTTAGCCCCTAGTTACATCACCAACCTGGTCTCAAAATACCAACCAAATTGTTCTCTTCGTTCCTCCTAAGACCTCCTGCTCTCTAGCTCTCTTTTCACCTCCTCCCATGCTCGCATCCAGGATTTCACCAGAGTCACTTCCATCCTCTGGAACTCCCTTCCCCAATGTGTCCGGCTATCTTCATCTCGGTCCACTTTTATACGATCCCTGAAAACTCACTCTTCACAGAGGCCAATCCTGCCCGCGCCTAACAACTATACATGTATTTTGTCCATCAGTCCATCCCCCAAAGTTTTTACCTTTTGTATCTCTCGACCCTCCCTCTAATGCAAGCCATAGATCAGGGGTAGGCAACCTGCAGCTCTCAAGCTGTTGTGGAACTACATTTCCCATGAGGCATTGCAAAGATTACAAAACTGACAGTTACAGCTATGACTTGCAGAGGCATGATGGAACTTGTAGTCCTGCGGCTCTCAAGTTGCCTACCCCAGCCATAGACAGTTCGTTTTAGGCCGATTTTATCGTCCGAAAAACAAACATTGTTCGTTCTGTAATCCGATGTTGCCACCAATGATTTCGAAAATAGGTCGTTTTCACGAATTTTCCAGCATGACTGATAAACAAAATGAGGAGGAACCGCGAAAATCGGCCTAAGCCATTGCCCCACTAACAATGCGAAAATCAACCGATCATTCTTTCGGACGAAAAATCAGCCGATTTTCGAACAGTCTATGGCCTGCATTAGATTGTAAGCTCTAACGAGCGGGGCCCTCTGAATCCTCCTGTATTAATTTGTGTTGTAATTGTACTGTCTGCCTTATGTTGAAAAGCACTGCGTAAACGGGCAGCACAGTGGCTAAATGGTTAGCACTTCCGCCTGGCAGTACTCGGGTCGTTGGTTCGAATCCCAGCCACAGTACCACCTGCCTGGAGTTTGCATGTCCTGTGCCTGCGTGGCTTTCCTCCGGATACTCCGGTTTCCTCCCACACTCCAAAAGACATGCTGGTAGGTGAATTGGCTCCTGTCTAAATTGTCCCTAGTATGTGTATGTATGAATGTTAGTTAGGGACCTTAGATTGTACGCCCCTTGAGGGTTAGGGACTGATGTGAATGTACAATATATATATGTAAAGCGCTGCGTAAATTGACGGCGCTATATAAGTACCTGAAATAAATAAAAAACTGTTGGCACTACAAAAATCCTGTATAATAATTAAAAGAATAGCGTTTTCAGTTTGTGGTGCTCAGGTACAGATTCGTTCAGTTGTAAAAAAAAAACATCGACATAATCTGTTACAAGTTAAGCAATGGTTGGACAGACTGCAGACAGAGCAGGCTAAACAAAAGCGTGCCCCTCTGCGGTCAGTGACGTACGCCGCCGTATTCAAAACAATTACCAGCTAAACAAGATAATAAACCTTTGTGAACAGAGGCTGCTGTGTTCAAACGTCTTGCATAATTACCCATATATATTGCTCCCTTGTTACCCTAGAGGGGCCCAAGGCAGCTGGAGCTCCAGCAAATTCCATGCAGAGGAGGACTGCCCACACACAGGAGCAAAATCACAAACTTGGCTGCAAGAGGAGAACAAGGAAACAAGAGTCGCATTTTCTGACAGGAGTGGTAATTCAATTAAATTGCATGCGGGTAATATTTTATTTATTTATTTCAGGTACTTATATAGCGCCGTCAATTTACAGAGCAGTTTACATATATATTGTACATTCACATCAGTCCCTAACCCTCAAGGGGTGTACAATCTAAGGTCCCTAACTCACATTCATACATACACATACTAGGGCCAATTTAGACAGGATCCAATTCACCTACCAGCATGTCTTTGGAGTGTGGGAGGAAACCGGAGTACCTGGAGGAAACCCACGCAGGCACAGGAAGAACATGCAAACTCCAGGCAGGAGGTGCCGTGGCTGGGATTCAAACCAACGACCCGAGTACTGCCAGGCGGAAGTGCTAACTATTTAGGCCATGTGGTTCTTAAACATTGCTTGGACGGTAGCCACTGTGCTGCCCAGTGACGAGACTATTTTATACATAGAAAACGTCACAGCAGGACCACACGGAAAACCATGTTGGTGAGCTGTGGTGCCATTCATTTTCAAAGGCACCCCAATACACGGAACATACTTTTGTATGCTGTGGTGTGGTGTGCTGCATTACCAAAAATGCCGCAGGTGCAATTTTCAGTCCATTGCAGTTGGCTAGGAAGCCAAACGCATTGCAGCAGTCTGGCATGGTGCGAATGGGCCCTGAAGGAAACCTGTCATTAACAAAACATGCAGACTGCAACTGCTGACCCCCTTGGGCAAGTGACAACTGCTTGGCTGTCAGCTAGATCAAGCGCTTTAATACCTGGTCACTGACCTGGCACAAGTACACAGTTAAAGGGTAACTCCACTTTCGGGAAAAAAAAAAAAAACATAGCAAATAGAAAAAATAATATAGCACAAAAAATTGAGGCACAAGTCATATTGTAATTGAAAGTTATTAAAAATGACCCTTCCTTTTTAATCTGTAGCACTGTAATGTTCTGCTAAAGCGGAGTTCCACCCAAAAGGGGACGTTCCACTTTAAAGCTTGGTCCCCCGCTCCCCATTAAGGATTGGCACCTTTGGGGAGCGGGTACCTGAAATTGACAGGTACCCGCTCCCACTTCCGCTGCGATATGCGAGAAGCGCAGCGCTTCATGAATGGCCCCGTCCTCTTCTGGGACCTGTCACGTGTCCCACAAGACTACGGGGAGGGAGGGTAGGAGGACAACTTTCGATCACCTAGACCAGGGGTGGGCAACTGTGGCCCTCCAGCTGTTGGTGAACTACAAGTCCCATCATGCCTCTGTCTTTGGGAGTCATGCTTGTATCTGTCAGTTTTGCAATGCCTCATGGGACTTGTAGTTCTACAACAGCTGGAGGGCCACAGTTGCTCACCCCTGGCCTAGGTGATCGGAAGTTGTCCTCCTACCCTCCCTCCCCGTAGTCTTGTGGGACACGTGACAGGTCCCAGAAGAGGACGGGGCCATTCATGAAGCGCAGCGCTTCTCGCACATGCGCAGTGGGTACCCGGCTGTGAAGCCGCAAGCTGTCACAGCCGGGTGCCCACTATGAAGATGCCAGTGCCTGGAATACAGGACGGCCGGTGAAACGGGCTGCGGCAGGGGCAACGCGGGACCGAGGGACAGGTAAGTGGCTGTTTTTTAAAAGTCAGCAGCTACAGTTTTTGTAGCTGCTGACTTTAATTTTTTTTACAGAGTGAGTGGAACTCCGCTTTAAATTCCATGCAATATAGCAATCTGGAGGCATTCTAAGTACAGGTGGTGTACAGGACACTAGTGGTGCACTGAAATAAAAATTCTGGTGCTAAAACCGAAAATTCAGGATGCACTTGGCCGAAAACCGAAACGGACAGTTTTTAAAAATCAATATATATTTTTCAAAAGCAATAAAAAAAAATACACTTTAATGATTTAAATAAAAAAGAAAAACACACATATATATTATATATATAATATATATATATATAAAAATTATATATAAATATATATATATATATATATATATATATATATATATATTGTGACAGTGTGGCGATCTGTAACCCTGGATTCTCAACAAGGCAGGTTGAGGGGCTCCAGGGTAAGTGTTTGATATGGAGGAAAGTGGCTTTTCACTTTCCTCCTGTGTTTGTAAGGTCTGTTTTGGGATCTGGAGCCTGGAGATTTCGAAGCGATTTGGGAGGGATGAAATCTCCAATCCTGGGACCAGGTTTTGGGAATGGCCAGGAGACTGATTGCACAGGTGTGCACGGCTCTTTTGTAGGGTCAGGACCAGGGTTCTGGGCTCCACCCCGGCAGCTAGGAGTCAGGTGGGCTTCGCCTAGGAGAGGTGGAAGCCAAAAGCAGCAAGGGGCTGTTAGAGACTAGCTGTGTGCTAGTGGCCATAATTCTTGAAGAAGTCTGCAGGAGACAGACATCAAGCTGTGTGTAAGCCAGGAGGCTGAATCTTTGTGTGATGGTGGATACCCCTGCGTGGGAAGCATTATGTTTGACCTTTCATTTAAATAAAAGTGGGCTAAAAAGGCCCTGAAAAAGAAAGCGAGTAGCTGTTTTCGTTTCAAAGCTCTACCACGTTGAAGCGAGTTCCCACATATGGTGGAGGATGCGGGCAGAATTGGAGATCCCCAGCGGTTGAAGTAAGTTCATCAGTTATATGAACTGTTTGGTGCATAAGTCTGCACTATCTGTGTGTGCAGGTGAGGAGAACCTGCTAGTGAAAAGGACTTTACCTTAAAGAGACAGTGTTCCATGGTGTTGCTGAACTGTGTAACACACTGCTGTGTGCATGACTGCAAAGATGGGGCGGTCAAAACAGAAAAAGGAGGCAATGTTTTCTGAAATGAGAGATAGAGCCCTGTGGCTAGGGGGTTATATACCGCATGCCCCAGCCAAGCTGGGAAATTTAGATGTGGGTGAGTCTGCTGTGGACTGGTGCAAGCGGCACCTGGCAGCATTGAACCAACCTACAGAGGAAAGCAAGCCAACCTTCAGTGCAAGGAGAGAACTTCAGGATGTCTGTACCTGGGAGAGGGGTGTTGTCGCCCCTGGCAACGCTGCTGCAATTAAACCAGTAGCTGTTGTGAAAAATGTGAATGTGTCACGGCTTGAGAGTTGGTCCAGCAGAGAGAAGCCTATGCTATGTGCAAGGAGAGGGGCTGAGCAGAGGCCAGGACCAAGAGTGAAGGCCCATAGCAACACAGAGGAGGCCAGTCGGGCTG